TGCTGCAACTTTGGTCCCCAATTTGCCAGAATCCACTGGACTATCTGGTGCCTCAGCTTCATCTGCTTATTTCTGATCTGGTTGGATGAAACCGCCACACATCTTTTGAGAGAGCATACATATACTTCTACGACTTCTTCTGCAGCCCACTCTCTTGGGAATGAATGAATGAATACATTTTCAGCTCTTTCACGCAGTGCTTTGTCTTAGCTGGACATAATTTAACTGTAGCTCTGTTTTGACCTTATTTTTTGTATTTCTAAGCGTCAGCAGAACGTAGTGGTCAGACAAGTGATGCAGTGAATTGCTTCCTTTAACCACTGCTATGTTTTACCAAACAGTTTATTTCTTGGTGTATTATGATAAGTTATTCTTGATGTATGGGATTTTTTTTTTTACACATTTGTTTTATCTTGAAGGTCAGAGCACAGGGAGAGAAATGAGCTCGGGGAATTTGCAAGAGTATCATCACCCCCGTCCCATGCACAGCCCTCCCCCCCTGCGTCGAGCCAGCCTCCCTCTTCTTCCTCCTGTGTTCAACTCTGTCACACTGACTCAGTCTCTGCTCAACACCCCAGCCCAAACCCCACCTCTGTTTCTCGACGCTCTGGAGAGCGGTGCCTCGTTGGCTCATTACGACACCCAGTCTCACCAGAATGATACCAGGTAAGTTTAAAACTCAGTAAACTGTGTTACGAGTACCAGAGAATAATTCAAAGATGAAGAAGTGCAACAACTGACAGGGAGACTGAGCGTAGGCAGAGAGGGATCCTGTGAAATGATGATGGCTCACACAGAGACGGTTGTACGAGAGAGTGGGTGACAGCTGGTGGTCTGAAATATTTCAGACGTCACGCTGCGAGACTGTTGTAGTTAATAAATTGATTTGAATAAAGACAGCTTTGTTTTACAGCAGCTAGAGATTTCACCAATGAAATGGGGAAACTCAAAATGCAACACAGAGCAAGACCCACTTTGAAAAATATGTAAGCAATCAGTTGACTCTAATCACATTTATATATGATGGAACTAGGAAAAGACAGGATTTTGAAAGGCTGGATTGTGTTTTGTTTTTACTTTAAGTGAATGTATAAAGAATATGCTGTTGCTGCTCTGGGGTGGTGAGGGAAAAAACGTCAACAAAAATAATATATTGGGACAAATCTGAGAACCTCCAACATTAGCCCCAAACATCACCTGCCAGGTTGTGAAAACTGTAGATGCTGAGCTGACAGTTTCTTGGACTGATGGTACTGGGAGCTTAAACCTCACAGTGCCTTGTCAGCAGCATCCAGTTAAACCTCTTGTGTAGCTCTCAGTGGATATATACCTATATTTGTTAATGTGTCTTTTGTGATTCCTGCAGCTCACTCTTTGACTTTGCGGAGAAGCTGAGCCAGCAGAGCAGCTCGTTGTCTTATCAGCTTCAAAACTCCTTTCCAACCAGCCAGCATCAGCCTCAAACATCTGTACCCCACATGGCCTACCTTACTCCATCGCCCTACCTCACCCCCAACCCTCCAGACTCCAACCCTACCTCCTACCTGACGTTTGCACCTGGAGGAAGCTCGGCTGGACTGGTCACGTACTCAACAGGTGGTCACACCTACTTTCAGTCCCAGAGGACCGGACAGATCCTGCTGCAGCCAGCCGGCCACCATGGTGAGACACTGGGACGAGACCCAAGCTGTTTGGAAATTCATTAAATGTGTAGCATAGAATAAGCATGCATTTAGTTGTCTTCAGCCTCTGAATCCTCGCTGAATTGAAAGCAGCATTAAGGAAATCTCACTCAATTAAATGCAGTAATTGCTCAGAGCTGCAGATTGTGTTTGCTGTTCGTCACTACAAATAATCTTTGGAAATTCTTGCTGCTGAGAAGGGTTGGTGCCCGCATGATGGATAATCTGCACATCTGTGAATGCACTGAGATGCGGGCTGTAGAGCAACATATGGTCCTGCACCTGTAACCAATCTAAATAAGCTGAGATTAGTCAAAAATGTGCCTGAGAAAGCTTTGATTACGTGGGCAGCTGAATAACAATAATAATTTCAGTATATTTTGGAAGTTTGTCTTCATTTTCCTCATTCTTGCAGGATTAAAATATATTATTTCAGCTAGAAAATCTGAAAATCTGAGAAAGAGAAACCACATACACACATAATCAGTGTTTTGTCAAAATCAAAAGATCTGCATCCGGATGTTTCTGTTTGCAAGTTATTCAATCATTATTCAATCATGTTCAAAGACTATATTTCATTTTCAATTTAATAGCTATTCCAGGGATTATGATCAGTCAATTCAAAGCCCTTTTTCTGACTCTGTTCATAAGTTTGGCATTAATAACAATAGGACATTCAGATACTGTATATATTCTGGTTCTTCATACATTTGCTGAACATACCAATGAACTGATGCAGCAATGGTTCATAAATGAATGACGCTTTAACTTGGTTTTAAAGGATCTGTAATTATGTAACATAATTCAGTCCAGGTTGATTAGTTTATATACTTTTCTCATTGGAAACTGGTTCTAATGCCAAAAAGCATTGAAAATGATCCTGTTTTGTGTTTTCTGAAATATAAGATATTTCTTAAAAGCTATTTCTCCTCATTGACTAAATTCAAATGTGCTGCTCCCTGACTGCATGGCGCTCTGGGCAAGGAGCAGGAATGAGTCTCGAAAAAGAAGAACTGCGTAATTTATAATCAGACAGGTTTTGTGTTGGTCTTTGGGATCTGTGTGCACATCACCATGGAGGATAAAATGTATGACAAGAGTGGCAGATGAGAATGATGAAGCTGGCTGACAGCTGCAGTGCAGTAAGACGTTTGTGCGAACCAGCAGCAGCTGTTGGGCTTAATGAGAGATTTGGGATGAGAAAGAGAAAAAGATACGATGGGAACTGAATAAGGAGTAGCATCCAGAGCAAGTCGGTTCATCTGAGCTGCTTTTCAGGGCTTGACTCTTCATCTTTTGGTGTTTCCATGGTGGGTAATGGCAGGTAGATGGTCCCTCTTTTCTGGACATAGTTTCAATCAATCAAAAGTTTGGACACACCGGAAGCTGACCAAACCTTTCCAACCAGCATAGAAAACAATTATTGCTATTCTGTTAATTTTTTTTATTTTTTTTACTTTATTTAAATAATTGTGATACTTCTAAGCCTGGATAGCTCTTCTCATTTTTAGCGTACATTGAAAGTCTTCTCCAGGTCCGTAACCCAGAGGGAATGCTGATACATCAGCAATGAACTCTTCCTCTCAGAAAGCACTTACACTGCAACTGTTTCCCACAACCGTACCATGTTGTGGGAAACGATTCCATGAAACGGTTTAATAGAAATTCCTGCTCTTGGTGTTTTTTTTTTCCTCAATTAAAAGCTTATTTGCTGTAGTTTTTTAATTGTTTTTCTTTTCCCTCTGCCAGGTGGGGTGGCATCGTACCAGTCGTATCCGTGGAGTAACTTGTACAGTCAGCCAGGTGTCCACCAGCGCACCCAGTGTCCCTCCACCTACTCGGCCAGCTTGGGATCCGTTCGAGACCACCAGACCCCCTCTACCTCCAGCCTGCCTGTCCATCCTGGCTTTCAGGTGGGGGAGCTTAACCCTTCACATACAAACTTGCAGCAAGCAGCAGAGACCCAGTCACACGTTCCCGCTGGCACCGCCATCCTCCCACCAGTGTCCACTCTGCGACCCTCCTGTCTCAGAGCTGAGATTACTCCGACCAGTTCTTCATCGCTGCTTCCCTCTCAGGTCAACTCCACGTCTCCTCAAAGCCCTACATCACCCTCTTGTGTTAAATTGGAGTATGACAGCCCTCGAGAGATTCACAGTCACTTCCACTGTGATTTCTCCCCAATACAGTTTTGAATCTGTGTTTGAGTTTGCCTTGTGTGTAAATAGTGTAACATTTTTGTATATTTTGTATTATTAATATATCTTCTGAGTGGAAATGTTTGTATCTTAATACTCCGATGGGCTGTGAAAAAGCTCAGCTCCAATAAATGCAAATGGAAAGGTTCATTTTATTTGCTTAAATTGCATTTAAAGCAGATTATCTGCTAACAAATCATATATATTTTTATACAAGACAGTTTTGTTTTAGACCTTAAGTGCACAACTTGGTTCTTAACCTGTAAATCTTAGCAAGCATGCCCAAGTTTTTATCTTGGGTATCGTAAAGGCAGATTGATGCTGAGCTAGGACATGCTAAAAAAAAAAAAGAAAGGAAGGTGTAAACAAATACAAAAGGAAAACCTTATTTAGTAACGTTTTTATTTTATTCAGGTTTAAAATAAGATGTAGGATTGTTCAATGCCCATTTTTGAAAGTTTACATAATGGAGTGAGGCGAAGTGGTTGGTAAAAAATAAGTTATTTTGTAGAAGTAAATACAGTTTTTGTATAAACGATGAAGCCCTGGTATAGCTTTCTTGTCTCCACAAGTAAACTCTGTTTTCTTTATTTACTATGTAAATTTCTCAAACCTGGAGCCTTTAACCCAGTGGCTACAATCTTATGGGTTTCTATACATGAAGTCTGACAGCATCACAATTTATCCATTTAATTTCATACGTCCCTGAAATTAAATGGATAAATTGAATGATTTCAGTGACCATAACGGGTAAAATCAAATTTTTGTTTTATTGTGTAACTATATTTCTGCAGCAGCTCTAATATACATTGAACAACAATTAGAAACACAACCATGTCGCTTTCAGTCTGCCTCACTTTGAGTTTAAATGTTCTTAAAAAAAGAAATCAGGAAATTTGTTCCCTTCTGTTATATTATCACAATAATTTTAGCCAGTGAAACACTACCACGATTCACTTCACTGGAATTTTATTGAAAAATCCCATGTGATTTTTCATGGGAAAGTAGGTATTCCTGAATACCTACTTTGCAGTAAGAGTTGAATAATTTTAGATGCATCTGCTTTTGAAACTGCTAAAACATGAACAGGTGCCAAAAATGTTGCTTTGAGTTCAGAACTGTGCAGATTCTGGTGAAGTCAAATATCCACAAGTTCTGGCTTATAAGTGGCAAGTCAGTGTTTGCTGTTGCCTTAAAAAATGTTGAATGTTTAATGAGCCCTTATAGTTTCTGCCACCTGGGTATTTCAGGAAATTACACACAGTCAGGAACCCTGATAAAACTTTCCACCCCATCCAAAGTATTTCCTGCCAACGTCCAGGTGCCAGACACAACCTCGTCTTGCCCCGTCCCGTCAAGCTGGCATTTGTCAAGAAATAACTTTTACTGAAGTCATCAGTAGGTAGAAAGTGACAGTTATAGGTCTGACTTTTAGTCATTAAATAGTTTTTGTCAAAATTCATTGAGAAATGAATGTTGTTGCTAATTCTGACAGATCAGTTTGATCTAAATATACAGTCTTCCTATCCCATATTATGATTGACCACACAGACAGTATCCACTAATTTTGGCTAAGAATATGTTCATGTGTGTAAAGTCAAGGAAACTTAATAGATTAGTTTTTATATAAATGCAAAGACGATTCAGTAATTAAAACAGTGTTTTTGCTTGATTCTCCAGTAAGGTTAAAAATAAAGTCAATGTTCAGAAGGTGTTCCCTCGATACTTCAGCTTGTTGAATTTGTATCAGTTCTCCGAGGGTCGTGAACTCTTTTTCAAAAATCCTGAATGTTCTCAGAAATAAGTCCATTTTCTCCTGATGGCAAAAATGAGAAGAGATCTGGTGCCAGATCAGTAGAATACCTAATTCTGGGTGCTATACAAACTAATAAAATGTGAGTTAGAAAACTAATCTCATCAATTTATTTAAAAAACATAATTAAAAATGCTTTTCAGGTCATTATAACAACACAGGAGGTTTAAAAACTACACTTGTCGTTTATTGTGAGGACAGATCAGGTCAGGCAGGAGAGCATGATGTGCTTAGAAATACTTGTATATTATAAAATGTGAAAAACTGGGTATTTGTTTCAGACCTTTTAGCAGCATGCAACTTCATCTTGCCTACAACCAAACCCCACCAGTGGGCACTGTGTAGTCGTATGCAAAAATCCTGGACTCTTGATTAGCAGGGTGGTTTTGAGAGACGTCTCCTCACTGGAGAAGAGAAGTTGGTGGGATATGCGACTAATCCGACGCAGTGAAATATGGACGGAGCCGTCGCTGGAACTGAGGCATCCCAGACAGTCGTAGATATACAGGCCTGATCCTTAATCTGTGTTGCCATCTGCTGTGTTTGCACACAAACTGCACTTTCTGCTCTGTTTAATCTTAGTATGCAAGGCAGTAACAGGAGCATGTGGAAATCAAATCCCTGTATGAATCTCTGCCTCTGAAACAGCTGAAAACATTTTCCCTCAGACTGGAATTAAAAAGAAAAAAAAAAAAAAAACATTTGGGGAATAGAGTGCCAGGTTTTCTCCCAGCAGTGCGAGTAAAACAAAAAAAGTTTCTTGTTGGAGCTCCACTTAATATTCTATGTTCATAGCTCTCCAATAACACAGAGCTTAGATGACAGAGGAGGAAAGAGAAAGGACTATTTGATGAGGAGGTGGCAGTAGGGACCAAAGGGGGAGTTCGTAAAGAAGATAACAGGAGCAAAGGCAGTGAGTTGGCCTGGGAACAAGGGAGGAGAACTGGGATGAGCTGTTGCTAAGGGACGAGAGGAGGACATTGGGTGGACTCTGCCAGCCGGCGTGGGAGGGAGACAACGGTGGAGGGGATGAAGAGAGAGAGAGAGAGTGTGCGTTGGTGGAACAGGGGGGATCTGGGGATGAACAGAACTGTTGGTTATGTAAGAGTCGTATTTGGGTTTTAAATGAACCTCTCTCTTTCTTCCTGCATGCTGGCTGCGGAGCTGTTATAGTTGGCAGGGGAAGGGCAGCACAAACACGCAAATTCACACATGCATAAAAATTTCTCCTGTACAGAAACACACTTGAGCGCGCACACGCGCCACACACACACACACACACACACACACACACACACACCCCGCTTCTCTTTCTGAACGAAGAGTGAGAGCTCTGTTCAGACGTTCTGCAGTGATGTTTTCGCTCGGGATCGTATTTTACTTCAAGGTGAAGTCTGACACACTACACGTCTTCTTTTGGTGTGTGCCTACTCAAACTGCTTCATATTCATGTGTCATGTGACTGAGGCGAGCTTCATGTAATTAATTTTTCCAGGACTTCCCTCGTGTGAACAAAGGAAGCTCAGAGCACAGCTGTCTTTGAGGATGTGTGTGTGTGTGGGAGCACAGGTATGGGATGCTTCGGTCCAGCCCGCTCCCCACCATGTCAATATTTGCTCAGAATTCTGAGATTTGAAGAAAGGCAACTTGTTTCAATATTTATGGATGTGGTCAAAAACATGAAATCCTCCCAGTCTTCCCAAACTTTGCGACAGTGCAAACGAGCATGCGGCCTGACGGTTAAATCAAATACTGGGGTTTATTGAAAGTGGTGCACAAAGTTTATTAATATAACAGATTGAAAGCAAAGAGGTTGGTTACAGAATAAGGAGACAAACATTGATCAATTTAAAAATAAAGGCAAACGGCACAAAATATCTCACCTCACTGTTGATGGTAAATATTTCTGTTTTGCTGTGGACCAAAAAATGCGTGGTGCCACACAGCGAGGCTCTGATGGAGTCGTTTGACTCACACTGGTTTCCACTCATATGCAAATAAACCGGCAAAACTATTGTGAGGAATACTTTCTGAAATCAAACAGGCCAGAATGGTTTGCTTTGGCAGAGAAAAGAGGCATTACAGGAACATTTCCTTTTTCTGGAAAAAAAAACAAACAGCAAACACGCCAAATATGCATGCTGGATAAAAGTAAATAAACAGGTGAAACAGTGACTTCCAGTAAGGATTGGTTTCGAAATCATTTTAAAGTCCCATAGAAAAATACTTAAATATATTTATCACATCAACATATCTCAATATATTTTGTCAAATTTTTTTTTGGTAAACCAACAAAAAGTACATGAAGAAAGAAAATGACATAACATTTTCTTAAAATCTGAAAAGTCTTGCATGCATTTGTACATTATTCACTTTTAGCAACAATACCCCTAAAAAAAAAAAGCAAGTGCAGCAAATTTCCTTCCTAATTAGGAAACAGCATCCTGACAACCCAGAAAAATGGCCAATAGGTCAGAAAGGGTAGGTCGTAAACCTGTTCAGTGTCTTTACTGAAAATGTAAAGAGTATTAAAAAACTTAAAACCTGATGAAACAGCTGTCAACTCGGCAAAGGAGAGGGTTGATTTTTTTCCTTCAATGTCCCTTCTGGGGCTCCGTACAAATGCATCGATTTTATAGAAATTAACTGGAACCCAGTAACTGTGGTGCTGGTGGATTTTTTATTTTTATTTTTTTTAAACAATTATTTCTTAATTTCCCTAATGAAAAACCAGATGTGTGGACTGAAGTCATGTGACTTAGAATCAAGTTGAACTCGAGTCGCAAATATAACGATAGTGGAAAAAGTGACACAAGTGCTGCCAACGATCATTACCTATCTGTTAAAAATGTTTAGGTATTACCCAAAATTTTCAGTTGTACCAGAAATTAAATCGGTACATCCACAACAAATTTTCAAAGGTCTTTGAATTAAAACATAGTTTTGAAACGGGTCTGTATTTATTTTAGAATAGTCCAAGTTGGGTTTCTCTAACAGCCAGAGGTCCGTACTAATTATATCTACTGTAGTAGAGCATAAGGATGAAAACTGTCCAATAGATCATCTTTAAAAAAACAAAAAAAAAAAAAAAAACATTTATTAATAAATTCAACATAGAATGAATTTAAAAAGTATTATTTGCAGAACTGGTCGTCGGATATGAAATTTTAAATACTCAAATGACTCAAAATTGAAACTCTTATTGTTTGCTATATAAGACACTGACGGATGGAGGTAGAACGTCTTGTTTGGGTTCAGTTCAATCTGCCAAGATGACAAAATTACATAACCACAGGTGTTTGTGTGCATGTGTGTGTTTTTTCCTACCCCCTTGAAT